GGGCATTGCCGACGCCTACGGGGATCTCATGGCCGAGACCAGGGGGCATGTCCGCCAGGACGCGTTCCTTTTGGAGGAGGAGGAGGAGGAGGAGGAGGAGGAGGAGGAGGAGGAGGAGGGGGAGGAGGGGGAGGAGGAGGAGGAGGGGGAGGTTTCGCAGGGAGCGTCCGAGGCATGGCTGGCTGCGTGGTGCCAAGAGGTGCCAGAGATTCTGGATTGCCTCCTCGGCGTGACCATGCGGCATCCGGTCGCAGCCTTACGTCGGGCCTGTCCCTCTACAGGAGGAAAATTCACGAACGATCAAGAAAAATAGTCTGGGCACGATTGTCCCTTTTTTTGCTCATTTGGAGTGTTTTTTTCCTTTTCTAGAGTTTGTCGTCCGAGATCCGCCTGTAGGAGGACATGCCCGACCTAACACCAGCCGACCGCGTCCCGTGATGCAGGCTGCAACGCGCGGGCCGCGGAGAAGGAGAAGCTCGACGGGCACCCTGGCGCGCGCGGTCGCTGCGCGTGGCCGGCTGCCGACGAATCCTTCGGCCGCCTGGGCGAGCGCGCGGCGAGGCCGTCCCCGTCCAGTGCGCGGCGGCCGCCGCGCAGAGGGCGTACCGTTACGTCGGGCATGTCCCTCTACAGGAGGAACACGCCAGAGTAGTCCAAAAATAGTTCGGGGGACGGTTCTTCTACTGGTGCTGCCTATCTTTGAGCAGTGCTTGCCTGCTTTCGGAATCTTTCTTCCAAACTCCGCCTGCAGGGGGACGTGCCCGAAGCAGCAGCCACACTCCCCGCCCATGTCCTCCTCCTCCTCCGCCGTCCTCCGCCCGTCTCCTGCTCCTCCTGGGCGGGCAAAAGGCGCACCGGGCCCCGCCGGACGATCCCACGCGCGGCCCCGAGGCCACCGGGCCCGGCGGCGCGGTGGCAGGGGCGACGGCGCGGGCGCCGCGGAGCGGCACACGGCCTCCTCCCCTGACCTTCCAGGAGGGCCAAAAAATAGCACCCGACTTAAAAACCTATCCCAAAGCTATTCTACGTCTTGGTTTTAGGCTGTTTCGCCCAGCTTTTTAGGTTTTTAGGTCTCCAGTGCTAAAAAATAGCTCTCTGGAAGGGCAGGGTCGCCGCCGCACCGCCGGGGCCGGCGGCTGCCAGGCAGCCGCCTGCGCCAGTGGCGGCGCTCGGGCCGGCGCTGCGGTCGTGCAGGGGGGCCGGCCGCGCAGAGGTGCCGGCGGCCCGGCCGATTGCTCCCGGGCCGCGCGAGGCGGCGGGCGCCGCGCTCGGACGGGCGGCTCCTGGAAACGAGGCGGCCCCGATCGACCACGTAGCCCCCCCATCCCTCCCCTCCTCCTCCTGATCCTCCTCCTCCTCCTCCTCCTCCTCCTCCCCTCCTCCTCTTCCTCCTCCTCCTCCTCCTCCTCTCCTCCTCCTCCTCCTCCTCCTCCTCCTCCTCCTCCTCCGCCTCCTCCTCCTCCTCCTCCTCCCTCTGGCCTCCCTGGCCGCCCTCCTCCGCGGAAAAGAGGGCCTGAGAGGCGGCAGCTGTAGCGTCGGGGAAACGCAAGGGTTCGAGTACGCCAGAGCTCGGATTTGCCAGCGTTTTGCTGACGGCTCGATCTCGTCGCTTTCAGGATCGGCCCCGTCAGGCCAACCCGAGCCCCTGGATCCCAGGTGCTACGCTTCCCCAAGAGTGCGAGGGAGCAACGGACTTGACCGCCAGCGGAGCGAAGAGGAGTGAAGGAGCGGGAGGAGCAGGAGGATCGGGGGCAGGTGGAGGAGAAGGAAGGAGGCAGATCGACGACGACGAGGGAGGCCTCGGATCCAGGAGTGTGACCCGCGCTGCGGCGAGAGCGCCGTTCTGGACGACGGGAGCAAAGCGCCGATCCTGAAATGAGGCCAGCGCTGCAACGGGAGCACAGGTTTCCCCCAAGCAGTGTTTGCACTTGCGGTCGGGGCGCTGAAGAAGGAACCCGTTATGTTGGGGAGGGGCTCGGTGTTCCTTAGTTGTCTTGCAGTTCGCCCTTGGTTTTTTTTGGGGGGTGGATGGGGAATCAAAGTTTCACTCATGGGGAAAAGGGGCCTCCTTCCTTATTTAGGGTTCCTTAGGTCCACGCCCCGACTGTAAGGGGGGTCTGATGTTTGTCTTCAGAGGAGATTGGGCCCGGCTGGCGGTCCAGCCGGCTCGTGGCCG